AGAAAGACAGAAAGACAGAGAGCGAGAATGTCTGGATTTCTACCTTGGGTGGCTATAGTAATACTTTTTCTTCGCATGATTGGGCAGAATGACAAGCTTAGTGCTATAATGATTGGAGTAGGTGGTAAACTTGCCAGGCCACTCTTTTACCGTACATACACTAGTTTATACACAAAGCCCAGCAAATTACAGGTCCTTTGAGGCATCAGAGTATTTGTCCAAATTTTAATTGACATTTTGAAATAAGGTTAAAATTTTATTTATTTATTTATTTTATTTTTTGGTACCGGAAATTGAACGCAGGACCTTGTACTTGCCAGGCAGGCGCTTGTGCCCGTGAGCTGTATCCCCGGTCCAGGGTTAAAATTTTAAAGCGGGGCAAACAATATGGTAAAACTTGGATGAGGCCAAAATGACAGGAATTGTCCTCTCTGATGATGATGTGAGTCGTGGAGTTCTGTGCTCCGCCACCACTCACCTGTGCCGCCTTGGGCAGCGCACTTCCTGTCTCCCAGCCTCAACTTCCTTTTTCATAAAGCAGAGATAATAATAGTACTTTCTAACTTTTTTTTTTGAGGCGAGGTTTCACTCTGTTGGTCAGGCTGGTCTCCAGTTCTTGAGCTCCAGTAATCTGCCTGCATCAGCCTCCTGGGTGCTGGGATTGCAGACCTGTGCCACAGAGCCCAGTTATTAGATAGTACTTTCTATAAGGAAAGCTACAAAAATAAAACAAGGGGGTTATATTGCACTTAGCTTGGTGCCTGGCTTACTGTAAACACTTAATAAATGGTAGCTATTATTAATACATTTTGTACCTGTCATTTTTTTTTTTTTGAAAGAGGGTCTCACTATGTAGATTAGGCTGATCTTGACATCTCTGTGGGCCCAAACGGGCCTTGACTCACAACAATCCTCCTGCCTTGGCCTCCTTCCTGTGTGTTGGAATTACAGATGTGCACCAGCACCCCTGGCTCTGTATCCGTCATTTGAGCAATCACATTTTGCCTTATTGAATACATTTCATTCATGTCTTATCTCCCTGAATAGATTATAAAAATCTTGAAGGAAAGAATCATGTATTTTTTTTTTTTTTTAGGTTTTTGTGGCACTTAATCAAACCCAGGGCCTCATGGGTGCTAAGCAAATGTTCTACCACTGAGCTACACTTCCAGCACATGGTTTTTGTTTGATTTTTTTCTGTGGTACTGGGCATGGGACCCAGGCCCTTAGCATGCTGGCAAACTCTACCACTGAGCTACACTCCATCCCTGGCCCTTTTAATGTTTTATTGTGAGACAAGGGCTCACTAAAATATCCAGATTGGCCTCATCTTGTGATCCTCCTTCATCTACTAATTACTGAAGAACTGCTACACACCAAGTATGACTAAGAGGTACATTTGACTGCACTTTGCAGAGCATGGAAAAGAGGTCAGAAAGTAAAGTGGGGCCGGGGATGTAGCTCAGAGGATAAGTGCTTGCCTGGCAAGGCTGAGGTCATGAGTTCAATTCCTAGTACAAAAAAAAAAAAAGGTAAAGTGACTTGCCCAAGGCCACACAGCCAGTAGATGTCAGAATTCGCATTCAAATTCAGCTCTCTGTCACACCAAGCTTGTCTCTTTAGTGCTTCTTTTTGAATGTAAGTGTTCCTTCCCATGGTACATTTCCCCAGTTATTGCAATTAGTGACAGTAAAGGAAGAGTAAAGTTCATATATTTAATAATTACTAGACAGTATTGGATTGGATTCAAAGGATGGGTCCAGTATGTGGCCAGCTTTATGTGGCCAGCTTCCACAGCACAGGTGACTATGGACATGGATAGCAACACACGCGCGCGCACACACACACACACACACACACACACACACTTCCTTCAGTTTTTCAGACTAGCCTACTACCTAAGATAGATCTACTCCCCTATTAAACTTGGTGTTAGACTGGTAGCTTTAGCGTTAAAATCATTTGTCTGGGAATAAACTGACATTTATTGGCTACTTCCCATATGCATAGCCCCATAGAAAAGGCATAACCATTGCTTTTCAATCTAACCACCTCCAGCGCCTGCATCAATTCATGTCTCAGTGGAAGCTGAAGTCCTTACTATGCTTGTATGCCCAGACCTTGCTACACCTCTGATCATGCTGGCCACTATACCCCTCTGTGCCGCCCTGCCCCATCTACTCACTCCGGCCAGCTGTTCTCATTGCTAGAACTTGGCCACTTTAAGTTTTCTACAGTTGTACAGTCTGCCTAGAGCTCTCCTTCCCCACTGAACTGGAGGAGTCACTCTCTTGCTCCTATCTCTGCTCGTATTTCCCTTTATTGGAAAGGCCTTTCCCAATCACCTATTTCAAATTGCAGTCCAAGCCAAGTGTAGTGTTGTGCGCCTGTAATCCCAGCTCTCTGGGAGGCTGAGGCAGGAGGATCACTTGAGATCAGGAGTTGAAGCAGCTGGGTGTGGTGGCGCACGCCAGTAATCCTAGCACTTGGAGGCTGAGGCAGGAGGATCGTTCCAAGTTTGAGACCAGCCTGGGCTACAAAGTGAGCTCAAGGCCAGCCTGAGCTGCATAGTGAGACCCTGTCTCAAAAAAGACCAGAAAAAAAAAAAAAAAAAAAGAGATCAGGAGTTGGAAACCAGTTTGGGCAACATAGCAAGTCTCTGTCTCAAAATAAATGAGAGGGGCTGGGGATTTAGCTCAGCGGCACAGCACCTGCCTGGCAAGTGCAAGGTCATGAGTTCGGTTCCCGGTACCAGAAAAAAAAACAAAAAACCCCAACAAAATAAATGAGATCCTAATCTGCGATTTGCCCTGTCCCCCAATACCCTGCTGTATTTTTCTTTATAGCACATTTGACCA